GGGGAACTGAGTAAATTACAAAGTTCTAACATATTTGATCTATCACTTAAAAATTGTTTTATCCTAAAATAATCCTAGACTTACCAGAAACTTAAAAAATGCTACACAGAAGTCTTTGAATTCTTCCTTGAATGTTATCATCCTATGTAAGTCTATGATTATCAAAATCAGGAAATTAACATTGATATACCTATACTATACAGTTATAAATTATAGTCCTCATTCATATTTCACCAGTTTTTCCACTTGTGTCTCCTTTTGTTCAAGAATACAATCCAGAATCCCATTTTGCATTTTGTTGTCAGGTGTCATTGGTCTGCTCCAATCAGTTGGGACAGTTCCTCTGTCTGGCTCCCTACATGATCCTTCTAACAAACAAAACAGATCCATCTACTCACCACTTGATATCAGTTTGTGGGTCCCCATTGCTTTCAAAATAAAATGCAAATAGTCTTGCATGAAAATATCCCATACGATCAGGTTGCATTATTGCACTCCCAACCACTCTTGTTTTTCTTTCTTTTATTTTATCATTTTTACATTTACTTACATATGTATACATTGTTTGAGTCACCTCCCCTCCTCCTTTTACCCTCCCCCCTTTCCCGGCAAACCTGTTCTGCCCTTTTCTCCAATTTTGTTGAAGAGAAAACATGAGAAATTATAAGAAAGACATAGGATTTTTGCTAGTTTGAGATAAAGATAGCTATACAGAGAGATTCCTAGCGTTGCTTCCATGCACTTGTGTATTGCAACCCACATTGGTTCATCTCTGCCCGACCTCTTCACTACTTCCCAGTCACCTTCCCATTGTGGTCTCTGCCAGTTTAAGATTACTTTATTCGCTCCTCTACAGTGGGCACACCAACCACTTTCAAGTTTTAGGTTTTCTTCACTTTCTCTATTCCTCCTGTACGTGTTCTCCCCTTAGTGTGTGACCCATGTCCAATAATATTACTGCATTTGTTTTAGGTCTATAATCTGCATTTGAGGAAGAACATGCGATCTTTGGTCTTCTGAGACTGGCTAACTTCACTTAAGATGATGTTTTCCAGTTCCATCCACTTACTTGCAAATGACAAAAATTCATTCTTCTTTGTGGCTCAGTAAAATTCCATAGTGTATAAATACCACATTTTCTTAATCCACTCGTCAATAGTCGGGCATCTTGGCTGTTTCCATAGCTTGGCTATTGTGAATAGTGCTACAATAAACATGGGTGTGCAAGTGCCTTTGTAATAACTTGAGTCGCATTCCTTTGGGTATGTCCCTAAGTGGGATTGCTGGATCATATGGCAGATCTATGTTTAGTTTTTTAAGAAGCCTCCATATTGTTTTCCAAAGTGGTTGTACTAGCTTGCATTCCCACCAGCAGTGTATGAGGATTCCTTTTTCCCTGAATCCTCTGTAACATTTGTTGTTGGTGGTGTTCTTGATGATAGCTATTCTAACAGGAACAAGGTGGAATTTAGTGTGGTTTTGATTTGCATTTCCTTTATGGCCAGGGATGGTGAGCATTTTTTCATGTGTTTTTTGGCCATTTGGACTTCTTCCTTTGAAAAAGTTCTATTTAGTTCAGTTGCCCACTTCTTTATTGGTTCATTAATTTTTGGGGAGTTTAGTTTTTTGAGCTCCCTGTATATTCTGGTTATCAGTCCTTTGTCTGATTTATAGCTAGCAAAGATCTTCTCTCACTCTGTAGGTGGTCTCTTCAATTTAGAGACCATTTGTTTTGTTCTGCAGAACCTTTCTAATTTCATATAGTTCCATTTGTCCATCCTTTCTCTTAGTTGTTAGGCTGCTGGAATTCTACTGAGAAAGTCCTTACCTATAGCTATTGTTTCCAGGGTATTCCTTGCTCTTTCATGTACAAACTGCAAGGTTTCGGGTCAGATATTAAGGTCCTTAATCCACTTTGAGTTGACACTAGTACAGGGTGACAGGCATGGATCTAGTTTCAGTTTTCTGCAGGCAGATAGCCACTTTTCCCAGCAACATTTGTTGAAGAGGCTGTCTTTTCTCCATCATATGTTTTTGGCACCTTTGTCAAAAATAAGGTGGGCACAGCTGTGTGGATTCATATCTGGGTCCTCTATTCTGTTCCACTGGTCTTCATATCTGTTTTTGTACCATGCTGTTTTGATTGCTATGGCTCTGTAATATAGTTTGAAGTCGGATATTGTGATGCCTCCAGCATTGCTCTTTTTGCTCAGTATTGCCTTGGCTATTAGTGGTCTTTTGTTCCCAACTCTTCCACCACTTCCTGGAACCCCATCCAGATTCCAGGCATCCTATACTAGCCCTGAGTCCTCTCCTGAGCCACATTCAAGAGGCCCCTATATGCAGCACCGCTTCTGCATAAAGGCTGCTCCTAAATGTCTAACAAGCATATGTTTGGTTGTACTCCATGCTAGACACTGTGAATATAATAAGTTAATCACTGTTCCTGTCTTTAAGAAGGTAATTCCTCAGCAAGGTAGGAGACAGACATACATAAAGAAATGCTTATACTTTGACTAAAGCTCTATCTTAGAGAACAGTCCTTAGAGAAAATGACACCTATGTAGAGACTTGATGCAGACAGGAGGAAAGAGGCTGATGGGAACTAAACAGCTTTTTGGGCTTCTGAATGGGGACAGGGAAGTGAGAGGCAAGAAGAGGGCTTGCCAGGGGATCAGGGATCCCTGTTTCCTAGGGAGCTTGGATTTTATTCCACACATCAAGACCTAAGGAGAGAGTCCCTTTCTCATTCTACTCAGAGGCTTTCTAGACTCACTTTGGGTATTGCCTCCTCTAAGAAGCCTTCCTTAATTATCTTCCTTCCTTAGATACCCATTGTGTTCTCTGGCTCTGAGGAAGCTCCTCTCTCAGTCACTGTCAAGCTAGATTGTGCTTCCTCACCTCAGTATCCCAGTGCCAAGTGCAATGCTGAGCCTCTGCAGTTTAGACACACATGGATACATGAGTGCCTTTAAGGCGGCCAGGCAAAATAGGAGGACTGCCCTGTGTTGTTCCTTACAAGTTCTCTCCAAGTGCTCTGCACCTGGTCCATGCTAAGCTGAGTGCTGGAAGTCGCTGGAGACTCTGGACTTAGGAGCAGGTTTTCAAGATCTGAACAGAGGCTGCAATGACTTCCTAAAATTAGTTACTCCAACTATAAATAACAATTGATTGTGCTCTGCTAATGTATTTTAAATAGCTGTGCTCTGGAATTATCCTTCCTTCCTCCTTCCCTCCCTCCTTCTCTTCCTTTTTCCGTTCCTCCCTTCCTTCCTTCTTCCCTCACTTCTTTTCTCTCTCCCTCTTTTCCCTCTTACCATTCCCAGCAATTCTTAGACAAGGGCTTTGTGATGCAGGAGGTGGTGGGAAGAGGTTCTTTCTAACGCTATGCAAACACTCTCAATTTCTGCCTTTGTTGGATCCGTGGCCAAGTTCTCTGCCTGGCTTCTGGGATGAACAATGGCATTGCAATAGTCTAGGCTGCATCTTCTTTGTCCCGTAGTTTCTGGGGGGTAGGAGGTGGGGTAGAGCAATGACAGTGAAACTGCTTTTGGAAGAGCCTATCCTCATTGCCTTCTTCCTCTTCCAGGGTGAAGGGCAGGTGGGAAGGAGAAATTATTCCTCATCGTCCTTCACCCTAGACTGTGGGCTTCAAAGGAAAAGTATGAAACTTGCCCTGTTTTCCTGGAGCAGAGACGACCAAACCAGCTGGCTTTGCAGTTTCTGGCAGGTTAAAAAGCATACATTTCCACATGACTTGCTGATTTACACCAAATTTTAATGTGTTTTTAAATCCTTCCTGCAGTCTGGGCTGAGCCCTTCATCTTTCAATGGGGCCGGCAGGTTATGAGGAAGATACAGTTTTCCCCTTGAACACTGATAGGAAGCTTTGAGCAGAGCTCTGGGCATATTTTCCAGTGTCTGGTGTCTCTCTGTTGGCCTTTGTGTTGGGCTCTCCCAGCACATTGCCTTGTCCTTGAGGGAGGAAGCCAGCAAGCCTCCAGCTTCCTTCGTAACTTCCCAGTTCCTCTGCCCACAGCCTCTGCACATCTGCTCACCCACCCCAATCACTTCCTTCTAAAGTGCTGTGCACAGGACTGAGTTTCTCATATTCAAAGGAAAATAACCACTTGACTTTGTGTCCATTGCATGAGCACCTCTGGGTGCAGAGGCAGGCAGTGTAGCTCTGGGAAGCACTTCAGAAGTGTGCAGAGCTCACCTCATCTCCTAAAGACCTCTTTGGACAAAACCAACAATCCCACCAAACTCAACAGCTGTCGCAAGCACATCTCCTTTTGCCTCTCTCTGAGAAAAAGCAGTATGCAGAGTGGGAAGATGTTCAAGTCCTCTGTGCCCTCCTCTGAAACTCAGTGACCCCAAAAGGTCACCCTGGGTCTTAGCTTCCCTTTCCTCGTCTGTAAAATGGGAACAGAAACTGAAATCCACTTTATGGGCACGTTATAAGTACATGACACACCACATACAAAATAGTCATCACTCAGTTTAGCGCTAGGTGTACACTATTAACGGTGAAGACAGGCAGGTTGCTTCTCTCCTAGGACACGGGGGGGGGGGCTTGGCTGGCCAGCGTGAAAGTGCCCCATGCTTTCCAAGACCTTTTAGTACTAGTATGTCGGGGACCTGGACTGAGTGGCCGAGAGCCAGGGACCGGGGTCCAGTTGTGTTTGCCGGATAAGAGTGACCAGGCAGCCGCCCTAGCGGGAGCACAGGTGTACCCACAACCACAACGAGGGCGCGGCAAGCCCATGTCCGGGGAGGCCAAGTGCGGCCTCAGCCCCAGGACCGCAGCCAGGGGTTGTCCCGGCCGTCCCGAAGGACGCTGCCTGACACTGGGCTCCTGGCCACGGCCGGACTCGCGCCCCGCCCCGCCCCCCGGCGCCCCGGGTTGGCCGGGGCCGCGGGCCACGCGCGGCGATTTGCCACGCGCCGCGTCACTAGAGCCGCTCCCGGGTCCGGCTCCCGGGGGCCAGTCTGGAAAGCGGCAGCGGGGGAGGCGGAGACGACAGGGCGCGACGCCGCCGGGTGCCCCGCCCAGGGAGGCGCCCAGGCCCTCATCAAGTGACCACTATCCCTTCCAGGAGAACACGGTCCTTCAGAGGGAAGCGAGCTTCAGCCTGTAGCTCCGGCGCCAAGCCGCCGTCATCTCCTTCCTGTGCCGGGTGATCCGGCTCCTCACCCACCCGGAAAAACATAGTCCGCCCCTCACGTCCTTGTGAACTAACGCTGGTTTCCAAACAGTGTGACTGAACTCTCTTTGCCGGAACCCTTATCGTTCTCATTCCAAGCATTCTTAGCACCCACCAAAAGGAGAAATCAGCCCTGAAAACAAACGTTACTGGAGAAGCGACCGGCTAAGCCGAAGGAAGGTGAGGGAGCGGCAAGGCTGGCGGAGGGACACGGAGGCGGTGACGTAGTGCGCACGCGCGCCGCGAGGAACGAGTTCCGGTCTGGCCGAGGCCTGGCTCCTAAAAATAGCCCCGGTGTGGGGATCCGTGCGCGGATGTCCCGGCGAGTCCCGGGCTGAAGGAGGCGGCTCCGGGTGGCGCGGAGTGCTGTGGCGGGTCCGAGCTGCGGCGTGTGCGTGCACCCGCCTGCTGCGCCGGAACATCGGTGAGGGCCGCGGGCGGCGGGGCTGTGTCCGCCGGGTGGGCAGTACTGGAGGGGGCGGTGGCTTGGTGAGGGGACCGGGTAGGGCTGTGTGGTGGGGGGTTGCTGGGGCGCGGAGACGACGCGGCCGAGGAGGGGCGCCCGCGGTGCTCCGGCGACGAGGCCAAGTCCGGGAACGGGGTTGCGGGTGCCGGGAGGAGGCTCAGGGGTGGTCGTGTCAGGGTCGACGCCGAGGGGCGAGGCGCCCGGGGAGGTGGGGGCGGGGTACCCCGAGGGCGGACCTGGGGGCTTGGACGGGGCGCGGGCAGGCTCGGCCGCGCGGCTTGGGCGCGAGCCGCCTCCCCGTGCGCGCGGCGCGTTTGGGGCCGGGGGGCGGCAGTGGACGTCTCTATATTGGAAGTTGAAGGAGTCCTTGGGAGGCCTCGTTTTCCCTTGCTTTCCGAGGCCTGGGGTCTCCCCGGGGGGACGTTCTGTCTGCCCTGTTGTGGGACTTGACCAAGTTCCCCACTTTTGCTTTGGGAGAAGGTCGGTGTAACGGGGCGGAACGTTTGGATCCGAACTCTCCCTCTGTGCAGGGTCGGTATTTGGGGCGGTGGCCCGGCCCCGGGTCAATTGGCTGGTGCAGACGCCCGACAGTACTGGGCGACACCTCGGGATCGAGGGGCTTGCAGAGGGAGCCGCTCACGATCCTAGCGGATCCCAGCACGCAAGGAAGGGGGCTGTGTTGCAAACTTTGTCTTTTCGTACGATGTCATCTGTCTGTGAACAGGGAGGATTAAAAAGAGGTGGCGGTGCCAACAAGTTTGGGAAAGGCGAACGTTTCTGAATTAGAATTTTTTGTTTTCCCTCCCGTTGAAAGTGTGACTATAAAATTCTGGCTCAGACCTGAAGTTGATTCTTGATCTGTGAAGCGAGACTCCTGTCATGGTCCAGTAGGGAACAGTGTGTCGAGTTGAATCATGCAACGCAGTTGTGAACGTGCGTTTTTTAGTTTATAGTGCAAGTGGGACTCCAGTAGTGTGCTGTTAGAAAGTCCTGCTGCGGTGTGTTGACAGTAGTACACGTATTTTAAAACCAACTTGCCTAAGTTTTTCACGTTCTTAGCACAGCGTGTTTTCTTTGTGTCTTCTGTCAGCTATCAGTGCATGAAGATGAGGTTCTCTAAAGTTGTGATTAGGCACACGTTACACAAGAGTACTTTCCCTTTAAGAATCCAGCTGTGTTGTTTTGGCAACTGCTAAGTACTCCAGTTGTCAGTTTTAAAATCTGTGTTACCTTGGCAGTACTTGAACGGTCTGTGGAAAAGGTAAACAAAATAGGTTTTGTTTTTTTTTTAAACGTAGTGAAATGAAATTTCTTTTAAATAATGTGAATGAGGATAAAGATAACTATTGTGCTCTTAAGGCTTTTGTATGTATATTTTTGTTTTGTTTTTGTATTTTTGAGGAGTTCTGTCTTTACTCTTACGTTTCTGTAAAAAGATAACTTTTGTTTTAGGAACGAGTTAAAAATGTTTCACTAAAGCAGATGGTGATTTAAATTAGAGTTTATATTGAATGTAATGTTTATTTAAATGGAATGTTTATAGGCACATATCTGTGTCCTCTAAGATAGAAAGATTAGCACTTGTTTATGGTGACACGAATTACCTTTATTTTATTTCTTAGTATTGTTGCAGAAGTTGAGATAATGATGTTATAATAATGAAAGTCCTCTGAAGAGCTAAAACCAGTGATTTGAACTTTGTAGACTGTACATTAATAACTCTTGGAGGAGTGCTTCCAGTAGATATTTATTTATGGAAGCAATAAATGCTTGTGAATTAATAGTGACTTCTAAACGCAGTATTTGCTCACCTGTTTTATGTATTGCACACTATAAAATTTTGCATATAAAATTACATCCTTTTCATATTAGAACAAAGGTGTTAAAATTACACTTAACTCTTCTATCAAAAGTTTTTTTTTCCTAAGTTAAATTATGGTTGGGGACAGAAAGAATGGTGATCAGGGGAAGAAATATAGCTTTTAAGGCTCAAAAATAATTATATCACCACGTTGAATTATGCATTGAGAATACTTTCCTTCTGTATAGAGTTTTTATGTTTCCATAATTGGTATGTGTGACACGTTTTTTTTTTGTAAATATAATTGGAAATAATCTTTTAAAAATGTTCAAATGGTGATGCTGTATTTTTTTCAGAGCAAGTTCTTTACAGCCTTGTGTTTTCCATTTACAATGCAGCACAAGTTAATATTAATTTTTATGAATATTCAAGTAATATCCATCCACTAATTGTTGGTCTACCAGAGAGAAACGTTGAACTGTATTCTAAGGGTATGTTTATTAGAATATGGTTTTGAAGTTTGAAATAGTGTAGTTAAATCCTGGTAGATAACTGTTCTGATTTAGGAGGAGGAAGCCATAAGCAAATTTGTTATTGGAAAGTAGCATATTTGGTCAGTCATTTTTGGAAAGCTGTTTTTTTTTTTTTTTCTTTCTGTCTTTGCTGCTGTTAGTCTGGCAAGAGGAATTTAGTGTAACACAGTGATGATGATTGTGGATTTTCTAGGGGCATTTCAATTCCAGATATTTTGTTTTATAGTCAGATCATGCTTCTATTTTTTGTTTTGAAAGATACACTTATTGTAGATCTGAATGTTGCAAAATCTAGTGTAAATTTTACCAGTGAAGGGGCAATGAAAATACTGCTTTGTGGATTGAAAAATGATCACTATTGCTTTTTCCCCCCTAGATTATTAAAGAGAATCTGTAAACATTCTTAGTGTCTTCTTAATGTGTAAGTAGTAAAAGAAATGTACCAGGCTCTGGTGCCTCACACCTGTAAATCCTAATTACTAGGGAGGCAGAGATAAAGAGGATTGCGATTTTAGGTCAGCTAGGGCAAAAAGTTCCAGAGACCCTATCTTAAAAATAACCAACAGAAAAAAGGGCTGGCAGAGTAGCTCAAATGTTAGAGTGCCTGCCTAGCAAGCACAAAGCCCTGAGTTCAAACTCTAGTACCACCAAAAAAAAGTGTAAACAGGGAAATTGAATCAGTTTTCAGCCAGATAACAATGTAAGAGGATTCTTTAAATATCATGCTGACTTGTAAGCCCTCATAAAGGAAGGTTGCTTGGTTTTGTAGTCAGATCTTGATTGAGATACCAGCTCCACTACTGACTTAAGTTATGAAATATCTTCTGTAAAATGGGAATGAATTACACCACTTACCCCATGGCATTGTTAGAATTTAAATGAGATAATGAGTGTAAAAGTTTCTAGCTTCACTGCCTGAAGCTTAATATACAAAAATGTATATTGCCTGATCTTCCTCAATCCTTTCCTTCTTTCATCTCTTCCTTTCTGTGAAGATTACAGACATACCATGCCTAGTGCCCAGTTAGGGGTGTGTTTAGTGTTTGTGACCAAAAGGATTTCATATAATGTAACTCAACATTGTCTTAAATTCATTGTCAGATAATACTTAAACTATTTAGTTGACCATTCTATCTAGATTTTTGGTCTGCAATTATATAGTTTGCTTCTAGCATCTATAATCTCCCTCAGTTTTTAAAAAAGTGAGAGTTAAAGGGCTGATGGAGTGACTTAAGTGGTAGAACCCCTGTCTAGCAAGCATGAAGTCCTGTGTTCAACCCCTAATACCGCCAAAAAAAAAAAAAGGCTAAAAATAAGTAGTTTTCTTACTCTTCAGTGAATTATGGCTTTTTGTTACTTAACTATGAGAGTTATCTTCAAGGTATGGTTTTTAATATTTGAAATTAGAAAAATATTTTTATAATGTACCTGGTGTAAGTAAACTTAAAAATAAGTTTTCTTTAGTAGATAATCTATGATTTTTTTATACTTCACTTTTTCTGGTCTGAAGTTAAATGATATTATCTGTCTATTCTTTATCTGTGTACCCTATAATAAATCGATCTGGTGTCCAGTTTATTATAATTAAGAGCATAAATTCATTTGTTAGTTAGTCTTATGTATAGCATAAGTTATGCATTGGCACTTAATAAATGTATTTATATAAGACCTTTATCGATCTTAATGATACTTACTGAATTTAATATTTTATTGTTTTAATAGTCACTCAAGATAAATTCACAAGCACAGAAGTTAAAAAACATTAACTCAACCTATTGAAACCATTTCAGGAATGGGGAGAGGGGGATATAGGAGAATTGTGGAGGGGTGGGTAAAGTAGAATGGTGGAAGAGGTGAATTCAAGTATGATATATTTGACATATTGTAAGAACTTTTGTAAGTGCCACAATGTATCTCACCCAGCACAACAGTACAAACAAATTAGCTCATGTATGTGGTGGAATACCATTTGGACATTGATGTATAATAGTAGGTGATTTGCTTCATCAGTTAGCAATTGATTGCGTAGAAAGCAGGGGAGTTGTTACCTGGTTGAAAAAACAGACATTAACCAAATTTTAAATAAATATCAGTTAAACCACATTTTTTATGATTGTCTTGAATTAATTTTATTTTCTTACACAAAAATAGAAACTAATCTGTGGATTTAAAAAAACTCATCAATAAAGTTAACGTGTTGAGAAGTGTTTTCAGTAATGGGTGGTGAATTTATACTGCATGAGCTGGTCCTTTGTAACTGGTTATTTTGTGATCAGCAGCATGCATATGCAGGCTGATTTATTTGAGGTATGACTCGTGACCATTGGAACAAATTGCTACTTCTTATTTGACCTGGCAAGATAACTTACATCTTTTGGGGCTTATTAAAAAGAAAATGCTCTTGAATTAAGTAACACTGTGTTTCCTTTTTCTCACCTTTCATCTTGATCCCCAGCAATCCATATCCTGCATAAGAGATTGGAATTGTATTTCTAAAATTCACATCTATTATGTCATTTCTTCCTTAAAAAAATGTGGAAGGCCTATAAGATCAGTAGAGACCATAATGCAAGGGTTAAGAGATTAGTTTCTAAAACCAGACTGCTAAGGGGAAATATGCACTC